CCAGCCGGGTGGCCCAGCTGACCTGCACCCACCTGAGCCTTGAGGATGCTGGTGGTCCAGTCCCACAGCTCAGCCTGCCCTGAGCACACCAGGTACCTGCAGAAGACTCAACTTGAGAAGCTGCCAGGGTGCAGGGCCCATGGGGTCCACGTCCCCTTGTCACCAGAGCCCTGGCTGTCCTTTTCCCACTAAAATCAGGGACGGATCTCAATAACGTTGCAGTGTTAGGTTAATTGTTGGACTCAATGATATTAAAGGTCTTTTCCAACCTAAATGGTTCTATGATTTAATGATTCAACGATTCTATCCCCCCAGCCCCAGGACAGCAGGGGCAGATACTCACAGCTGCTGCTTGTCCAAGGTCAGCGTGAAACCCCACCTGAGGAAAGGAAGAGTCAGGCTGTGGGGCAGCACCATCAAGCACGGACACAGCCCCAAGTGCATGGGCACTGGGGCAGGGGACTGAGCTCGCCCCACAGGCACAGGATTTTCATGGCTTTGGGTCCCAGTGGGGCTTGGCATGCTCCTAGTGGTTGGGTTGGTATGCTGGGTGCAGGGAGAGAGGGATGCGTGCCCCAGGGAAGGTCCCACTTACTGGGCTGGTGGCTTCAGCTTCTTCCTGATGCCCATGTAAACCTTGGCTGCGTCCAGGGGCCACTCACGCTCTGGCTTGACACTCTGGGGAAGAAGAGCCAGCGATTCAGCCTGGCTTTCTGCCAGCCTCCCTGCCGGGATGACAGCTACTACCGTGCCACTGCTGTCCCCAGGGTCCCCCTCCCCGCCTTTCCTCCCGTCTTTGGGGCACAGATCCATCCCTGCAGCATCCCCTGTGTACCCTCTTCTCCTTGAGAAGTAGCAGCCTCCGGTCCTGGATGACGAAGTAGCGCTCCTGAAACTTGTTCCCCAGCAGCTTGGGGGGCTCCTCACGGCATTTCAGCAGCCCACACTTGGGGGTCTCACGCTTCATGCCTGCTTAATGTAAGGAAACCGTGGTCAGTGGGGCTGGGAGCATGTGAGGGTGAGTAGCGTATTGCAAGGTGGATCCCACTGTGGGTCTTGGGGGTGTGCACCTGATGGCTGTAGGGTGGTGGCCAGGACAAGAGGAAGATCAGGCAGAGTTGCCCGACTCTGGGGACACCCCTAGGGACTAACACCCTTTGGGACTGCCTTACCTGTGAAGAGACAACTGCCCTCACCGATGGGGACCTTCCTCACCAGCAGGTACGCAGAGCTGGGTTCCGGGAGCTTGCACCACTCCAAAGCTTGCTCCAGGACCTTCTCCTTGGGGTGCAGGGGCCGTTCTGGAGAGGCAGGAACACTTTCACCACTGTATCCCCTTCCTTGTTCCAGTCCCTGTCCCTCCTGCCACCAGCAGCAAATCACTCCCCTGTATCCCACACCTCCTCCTCCTCAGCCTGGCGATGCTGAGAGCATCCCCCTGTGCCATGCCCACCTTACTCACCCAGTTCCCCATTCTCCAGGGCCTCGAAGGTCAGCCAGATGTCCAGGCTGGCTGCCACGTTGCGCATCTCCAGCACTTGATTGGTGAGCTCCTCTGCTGTCATCGTGGGGGACACCTGGGGCCGGACACACAGGGAGCTGTGGTAGGTGGTGGCAGGATGGGTCCCAGGGACAGGAGCCTGCATCCCTGCTTCCTCTGTCAAGGCCCTCCTTTGGGACTTACCTTCAGGGTGACGCAGCAGTCGGGCAGCTTCTGCTCGAGGCAAACCTCGATGATGAGATCACCCGCCTGTGAGAGCTGGG